GAACTGATGCTTGCGTCCCCTCTACAAAATGGAAGATAGCGAGTGCTCGAGTGGCTTCTTATGATCTTTACAGAGAGGAAGTACGGACAATCGATAAAGGACCATCGGGAAAACGTATGTAACACACGCCTCCGCCCTGCCCTTCATGGACAACCGCCGTCGACGCCAAATCTGACCGGCCGCGTTGACCTTTGCTTGTACTTCAGACTAATTTTTCTCCAGCTGGAGGTGGGGTCCAAACCATACTCTAAGAATGAGGACAGGACCGTCCGTCCAACCGAAGCGTCCCGGAAGATAGACCCCCTTCCAGGCACCTAACCGCAAGCCGGACGACTTGTCGCGGTTAATCTTGGTCACTGTCACCTTTTCGTACCGATCAAGCGCCTTCAGTACCGCCTCAATGTCGCTTCGCGATGACACGAAAGTAGATATGTCATCGGTGTACGCGGAAACCCTGGCTCGAGCCTCTTCGGCCGGCGAAAGAGAGGTTCTAAGACCTAGACAGCGCAAAAGCATCCGACAGCTTTCCGTTCACCTGTACTACAGCACTGGGGGATTTGGCTCCAGGCACTGGGAGATTTGGCTCCAGGCCGGAAGTCTGGGGCATCCAGTAAAGATCGAACTCACTACTCAACAGTAATTACCTACCTGAGTGGTTCGCAATCAGAAGGAAATTTTTCACACATCTAATATAAGAAATTGAAACAGAAACTAATTATTTGCATAACATCACTGATTATAAGAAAACTATATTTCAGTTTTTAATCATATCTTTTTTTTTCCTGGAAATTAAACGCGCGTGTTCAGTTTAAAAGAAATTGACCGGAGGCCATTGGACTACACATTTTAAAGTAATCGACAATCAAGAAGTTCTAAATTTTAAATGACAAAATTCAGAATTACCCGGTGGCAGTTGGAAACCTTTTAAAGAGAAGGTTGATAAATATTAATCCGTTAAAAAGAAAAACAAAAAAATTGTCATTAACCTTTCAATATGTTCATTTGAAATTCTAATAATGGCGGTTAACATCCCGAATACATAAAAAAAAACAACGAATGCTGGTTTTGAGTCAGAACCCTAAGACCAAGCAAGAAATTCATTCACCTTAGAAAGGTATATTGCTTGGAGATAAATTCAGCAGAATGTGATTTGATTTGTTTTACGGTTTATCAACCCTTTTTGAGTTATTTAGCCGGAGCATATTTTGGGCTTAAAGAATCCTTTTTTTCCAAATGAATATTGCATTAACATTTTTTTTTTTTGGTGGGGGCGGATGGAATAACACTAATTTTTCCAGATACATGTCCTACTATTTAAACCATCAATTACGGAAGAAGTGATGGGTTCATTCCTTTCCCAAGACTATTTGCTCGTAATATGCAACCAAGAAATATTGAGAGTGACTATTTTTGCATTATTTAGTAGGTGGCTTAGCAGCAAATATATTGGCGAGCCGAATTCATATTTAGGTCGATACTATTGTGTTAACTTCATATTAATACCGTTGTAAAAACATACACTATCTCTTCCCTTCCAATCTTTTTTTTACTATTGTCCTGGCGATACAATAGTCACTCAAGATAAAGAACCCCTAAATGAAATGTGTGATATGAATGTAAGTGAAGGATTAAAGAATAGGAGGAGATAGAGGATAGATAACGATTGATTCTTGACTTGAAGCATCCACACGGGAGTCTGTACCACATCGGATCGTTTCTTGGGAAAAACCGATGTGGCTTGTTTCGTTTTTTTTTCTATAAATATTTCCATGATTGTTGTTCTAATGAGCTCTTCTCATTGATATCTCGACCGCAAGAATTTAAGCGCGCTACTAGATTGGCAAACGGGTAGCACCTTTTCATTGTTGAAATTTAACCGTTAATTCTAAACTAATAATCTCCTTTCTTGCACTTATCACCCCGCTGATGTCTCTTTCGATTTCTTGCTTCTCTGCCGCCTACAATTTTCAAAGATTTAAATATATCAATCGTCATCTGCTGTCCTCCTGAAATCTGTTCTTTTATTGTCCTTTCTCCTCACTAAAGTTTTCTCGTTCTCTTTCACTCCCGGTAACCCCTTGCGACTTAGTAGCATTATTGCTTTACTTGGGGTGAAATGATTAAAAAATCTTATGATGTTATGAAGCGATGGGAAACTGCTTAAGGGATTTGGTTATCTGTCTTTCCCTTAGCCAAGGTTCGAACTAAAATGTCATGAAATCACTGTGTCGGTGAGAACAGGAACCTTAATCTCTCATATTAAATTTTATTGAAATACTAACTTCAAAATGATGTTCGAAATTAAGCGTAATACTATATTGGCTGTTGTCATTACTGTTGAAATAGCAAAAGATGTAACCATAAATTCTATTCTAATTGTTTCTTTTCTCGCACTTCTCACCTGTGGAAATCTCTTCCGGTTTCTTGCTTCCCTGCCACTTAGAATCTTCAAAAATCTAAATGCAACGTCAATCGCCATCTTTCGTCTTCCAGAGACATGTTCTGTTATTGTTCTCTCTCTCCAATAAAGTCGCGTTCTTTTCTGTGTCTTAGTGGCTTTATCGCCTTCCTCGGGGTTGAAAGAATTTAGAAAAAAAAAGAAACTGACTGAATGGAACTTTCCTCTTACATTAGGAACACGGGAGAAATGAGTCCGATGCGACTCCATGGAAGTAGAATGTCTTGTTCTAGATGTAAATATCTGAACTGGTGAAACTTGTCGTGCCCACATATTTGTCAGTTAGCACTTTTGCTTAAAAAAAAAAAAAACTAATTAAAATGTATACATTTCTTGTTAATCTACAATCGGGTTACCGCCTCCTAATTTTCGAAACTGCTACTAGCGAACGCTATCAGGACTATAAATACTCTGTGATAAAATGTTATCATTCTCTTTTTACTTTTCCGCTTATAAGCGGAAAAGTAAGAAGAGAATGATAAATGATGTAAAATCGCTCGCGGAAGAACGCGTTCCCTTTTGGGAAACGCAGAAACAACACATACATACACACACACGTACATACGCATATTCGCTCACTACACATACTTTGAACCAAAACAGATTTCACATTGATTTGTCACACACATTATTGTCTTTGTCACTTGTAATCCTTTGTTGTTAATACATTATTATTTGTTTGTGAATATATATATTGGCTCTTGTCGTATTTCTTTACGTGAACTTACATTCCGAGTCCGCCATGTTTGTTGTGGGTATTTCAGGAGACACACGTGTTTATCTCTCAACGCGTACACCAGCTCGCAAAAATGTAAATAATGGAGTAATATGAACATTTGTGGATGCAGAATGGAAAATAAGTAATATCTCACAAGATAAAATAAGATAAACGAATAAGGCTGGAGGGTGAGTATTGAGCAGCATCAGCCCAGATATGACAGCAATACTCGATTTCTGGTCTAATCTGATTTGTAAAGGTCAGGTGCGATAGAAGATCTGTGGGTAAACAGAAAATTAACCAGGAGTTTTTAAGAGGAAAACTCTGATTCAAAACAATTTTTTTTAAAAAGCGCATGTAATATGATTTAGGTTAAATAGCAGATAAAAGTAGTTATTCGAGATCGGAGTAGAACCACTCTAATTTCAAAACCTTTGAGAGGGCAACAAAAGCCAATGTACTAACTTCTAAAATAATAATAATAATGACAGTTCAAATCTGTCTAAAGAGAGGCGGTATTATGATTACTTGCATTATTTACATTATTCGGACTGTTATCCTCATCTTCATTGTCGTATACACAACGTTTCGGCTGTTGTGCGCTCCGGCCTTCTTCGGGTGATTGGAATTTCCGGATTTCTCAGTTTTTTTCCCCTTTAACTCAACTAAGTTTTTGGCTCACCACTGCCGTGGCCTGGTACTAAATACACAACTCTTTGGGTCTATTCACTGGATCAACAAAAAAAAAATGCAATAATAAAAAAAATTGCAATATGAGCACTGGTAAAATGGTTGTTGAGACATAAGGTTTATTATAAGTCCCAAAAATTCTTACATAGATGCCCTCAAGGACACATGACCCAGTGGATAAAGACGTTAGCTAGATCCAGTGTCTGGACCCAAAGAGTTGTGAGTTCAATACCAGGCCACAGCAGTGGTGAACCAAAACCTTGGGGAGTTGCGTTAAAGGGAAATAACATGGCACGTGGAACTAGAACAATCTACCGCGGTGGATGATATAAACTGTTCGGTTCGAAATTCTAATCATCTTAAGAAGGCCGGAGTTAAAGGGAAATAAGTGAGACACCCGGAAGAGGCGTGACACTTAGAACTATAACAATTTACCCCTGTGGACGAAATAAAGGGTTTAGTTCGAATTTCCAATCACCTGAAGGCCGGAGCGTAGAACGTTGTAAATACGGCAATGAAGATGAGGATAACAGTCCGAATAATGTAAATAATGCAGGCAGTTCAAATATATTAAAGATAAAGAGAAGCTGTGTAGAGACATGATTGTCTGCGTGGTATTATAACAATTAGGTTGCTATTATTTATTTAACCAGTTTTCTATTTTAGATTCTCATTAATGCTTCTTTTGTGTTGTAAATATATTTGCACTATTTTATTTCGTCTGCGTTCCTGCTTACCCTCCCGAGGCCAGTGTACCGATGATGATGTAGGGGTGTTTTGCTGATGACATAGTTATTTAAACTTTGTATCAGAATGGTCTTGAACATGAAATGAACATATTCTAACAAGTGTTCTAAGAAGTAGAAAACAGAAACTATGATCTGAAATTGGAATGAGTGTAGGGATGGCGCCTAACTTGAATCCATCACAAAAATTCAGTATGTGGAATTAATAAATTCAAATCAGAGCACTTCAAATATCTCGATATATGAATCAATTATAACAAATTTATCATAGGAGATACGGAAATTGAACAGAGGATTGGCTGCGCTAGGGGTAGTTTCACACAACACAGCAAGTTGCTACACAAACGAAATATTAACCTAAAAACTCGTGTCATGCGCTTAATTAAATTTACCATGAAAGAATGTCCAACTCATTCAAAAGTGGAGAGGAGCGTAAAGAGGAGGAGGGAAAGGAAAGAGGAAGGGAAAGAGGATAAAGCGGAAAAGAACAAGATAAGATAAGTGGGAGTGGAAGCGATGAATGGATGAAGAAGTAAGAGGGAGGGTGATAAAGAAGAAAGAGGCGAAAGCAGAAGGGAAGTAGAGAAACGAGAAAGAAGACGATAGTATCAGAAGAATAAAGAGGAGGGGGAAAGAAAAGGTGAGAGTAAAGTCGATAAGGAGGAAGAGAACAACTTAAGATAAGGAGGAGGTGGGAGCAGAAAATGGAGGAAGAAGTGAAGGAAAGACGAGAAAGAAGACGATATAGTAGAGTATAAAGAGAATAAAGACGAGAAAAAAGACGATCGGATAGAGCATAAAAAGAATAAAAAGGGGTATGAAAAGGTAAGAAGGCGGCGGAAGCGAATAATGTAGAAGGAAGAGATCTGTTCTGAAGTTAAAGGAGAAGAATAAGGAGAAAGCAGAAGTGAAGAAGAGAAACGAGAAAAAGAAGGAGTGTAAGGAGAATAAAGAGGAAGAAGAAGGGGTGAGAGTAAAAGTTGTGATATAAGGTGGAAAAAAGAATTAACAAGGATGAGAATGAGGCGTAATAAGGAGGGGGGACAGGACGAAATGGAAATGAAAACACTAAAAATGGAAAGAAACTAACATCCTGACGTCTTCATTAACATTTCGACCCCTGCTAATCTCTCTTAAATCCGTCCAAAATTACAAATATTTGTATGATTGATCAGTTATTATCCGATTATAATGCTGTCGCTAAAACTGTCTATTTTCCTGCAAAATCAAGGCTCCTCGGCTTAGAAGCCAAATCCAGAAAGCTGATCATATTGTCTGCTTGTATCAATCGAGTAAAATCAATAAGTGCGGTTTTGCAAGCAAACAAACGGGATTCTCGATTTAAACGATGCTAATGGCAGATGGACACATACCCGGTAAACTAGATTTAAGCTTACAAACCATCATCAAAACTTTTGGTGTTTGTTATTTTTTTTTTAATTTTTCGACTTCGCTTTTGACTTTTCTCTTCATATCTAAACACAAAACCAAAAAGTATTTTTTTAATATTCATTAGATTTTAGATTTTTTTTAAATATGTGAATACGGGATGCCGAAAAATAGAGAAAAGAAAGGCTGACAAGCTAATTACAATTAGAAAAATATTTCACTGTTGTTTAAACAAAGCCCTACAGTTTTTATTCATTTGATTTTTAAAATGGCATCCTCTGAATGGTGAGCTCTATTTGCCATAGACTGTTGTAGATGATTTGCAAAGTTTTCCCTCACCAGAAAATTCGAGGTCTTCCAGATGGCTGAGCCTGTAGATCTGAAATTTTCAACCCATAGCAGTATCGATTTTCTACCCGGAACAAAATTATTCCAACGTAACATGAAATGAGCACGAACAGCTCCTTGAGTTGCAATTAGAGATTCCCTAGCCTTAAAAAAAAAAAAGTTTCAACAGCAAAAGCACGATGTGCACCAGCCTAAGTCAGGATGGTAATTGGTGATATAAGATAAGAGCTAGATGAAGACACCATTGCCACTTGCCTAAGTTCTCTCGGACCACACAGATAACAGTTTAAAATGTGAGAGGTATTTCTGTCGCACCCTGTATTTCTAAAGAAGCAATAGACTTTTATTTATTTACATATTTTTATCACTTTAAACCAATGATTCCCAACCGTGGGACGACGCATCGTAATGCGTACGATGTACACTCATCGGTTTACTATACCAACAGGGGAATTCGAGAATGAATTAATTAACATTGAATTGTTTTCTAGTAAGTCTGAGTGTAAGTGTTAATATTAATGCATGTTAATACATACGATGCATAGACAGTATACATACATAAAAATATTTTGTGCGTATGTACGTACATGTGTAATTGGCATACAGGGTATTTCCCGTCTCCCCATATTCGCGTGTCTCGGTCAACAAAGGAGACGGCATGATGCATGTCGCTGGGAGAGCACATGTTTTGTCGACCAATCAGCGCGTGTGCGCATTCAACGAGCATTACAGAGGAGCACCAGAACTTCAGAAATACCAAAGTGGGGCATGACCTCAAATCGGCTGGGAACCACTGCTTTAAACATTATTTTTAGTGAATATTAAAATATATATTTTGAGTAGGTGCTCTGTTTATTTTAAACAGTCAGGCTGATAGACGAAAATACACCGCTTAAAATAAACGGAGCATCTACTCAAATATGGGTATCCACTAAAAATAACGATTATATGTAATTAAGTAAATATTTAATGTAAGAGTGCTACTTGTACCATGTCACCTAGCTGCATGGTTGGGATATCGGTGACGAATCTGGTCTCCCAACCAGTCGTTTCTGGTGTTGAGGATGATGGTTAGACATCCAACAGGATGAAAAACAGGAGCTGGAAGAAATGGAAGAATGACCTCCTAGTGTTTTTTTTTTTACTAATGTTCACCTAGTACAAGGCGCAAGAGCCACTCAAGGTAGAAGGTTAGTTGTTGTATTAGTGTAAGAAAGGGCAAGAAGCAAAGTTCTTGGGGCTAACTTTTGACTTGAAGATGTCAAGATTTAATTAGTGAATAACATTTCAGAGTTCAGAGATTTTAGAAGGAACCGGAGACCCTAACCCTAAACAGAAGCCCTAATCCTAAACGTCCTATTCTTTATGGATCTTCCCAGTGTTCGTCTTTTTATCATGCCCCCAATAACTGTTCTGCCATCCATTCCCACAAGCTTGTTAAGTAGGTTACTCGCCGTTTCCCCTTTTGCACGTAAGTGTCGAATTCTCCATTATGTGACCAAGAAATGACAACTCTCTCTTTCTGATTCTAAGTAAATGTGTTCTTTTATTTGCATTTTCTTTAAAACTTCGTCATTGCTTGTATGTTCAGCATCCTTTTCTAGAACAGTATCTCTGCTGCCTCCGGTCTCCACTGAATATGTTCGCTATCATATATGAGGATAGCAATTCAATACAACTTTCTTGGAACAAGAAACAATCTACTCCGCTGGAACTAGAACAATCTACCCCGGTGGGCGAAATAAAGAGTTCAGTTCGAAATTCCAGTCACCTGAAGAAGGCCGGAGAGTACAACGGCCGAAACCTCGAGTACATGATAATAAAGATGAGGAAAATGTACAAGTCCGAACGATGTAAATAATGTAAATTATTACAATACCTTATCTCAGAAATATAGACACATCTTTCTTTTTTTTTCTCACGAAATTTTCCTGATTTTTCATACTTTGTTTAACTTTTGAAACGCATCTTTTAGCTATTCTAATAATTTTTCAAATTTCTATATAGCATTTTCCCTAAACCTTCCTTATTGCACACATTCTCCGTCCATGGTATTCTCAACATCCTTCTGTAGTATTATATCTCTATTATGTCCGCTTCATCTGTAAGGATATTATCCAGCATTCGCCGCCATATAGTTTGATTGGTTTGGTTTGTTTTGTTTTACAGCATATCAACCGCAATGGGTTATTTAATGCCGACAACATTTTTATTGCTGGTAATAATTTTTATTCAAAAATGTTCTGCTGGTAATAATTTTTCCAACAAAGTATTGCTGGTATTAAAACCTATATTTATACTTTGACAGTGCTTTGATCCCTCTTGGGGGGAGGGTTGTTAACTGGAACCCCTACTGGCGCCACCACCCCGAGTCAGGGTGGACCATAAACACCAGCATACAAGAGGTGGTTCCACGCTCCTCAAATGGGAAAGGGAAATCTCTACGAATATTTTATTATCGTAGACCTTGCCATGAGCTTATTCAGTCATTAACAGAAAAATTGAGATTTATCAGAAATTTCGGAAAGGAAAACCGTGACATTTTCACGGGTTAAAACTAAAACAACAACAATAATAATAATAATGATAATAATAATAATGAATAAATCAATAAATACTATTCAGACGTCAGTCTTAATGGAAAACAACGGAAATATTAAGGAGAGTGCTGGAGCCTTGAGTAGGCGAGCTACCAGTGAGTCTCTTGTGTGATCCAACACTAGGATTTCTGATTCATGGCGAGAGTACCAAGTCGCTGCTCCAAGCATGACTCTTTTTATATTGATTATATCTTCTCTTTTCACAACAAAAGCATTTTAAACAGAGTTCTCAAACTTGGGATGCCTAATTAGCAGGTACGTTGGCGGGTATTTTGAACGCAAAGAAATATTTTCTCCCATATGGAGAAGGAAGATTTGTCTCTCCTTTTCGGTTATGTCAATTCAATTATGTTCTTTTACCCCAAGCAAGGCAATAAAACCACTAGGACGCAAGGCATTTCTGAGTTAGAGAATATGAGAAAAACTACTTTTAAGGAGAGAGGACAATTAAGAATAAGAATTAAGGAGACAGAAGATAACGATTGACATTTCATCTAAATTTTTGAAGTTCAAATTTGATTGGGAAGCAAGAGGTCGGAAGCGAGAAGTACCATAGAAAAAACTGTTAGCATAGAATGTACTGTTATATGTAGCCATTTCAACTGTAAATTGCTGAGATCTTGCCGTCAATCTAGTACAGCGCTTAAGTTCATAAACTCATTGTAATATAGAAGAAAATAATATTTATTTTGAATAATACAAAAATGTGGCACAAGGCCAAAAGTGGGGGATAAGAGAAGTCTTGTCTTCAATCTGTTTTTTCTTAAACTTACCTAGCATCAATTACTTACCCAAACATACATATTTCTTACACCAAAACAACACATTCTTACTTACCATTCTTACTACAACCACCATAATATCGCAAAGTTTCTGTGTAGTCCTAACTAGTCCCCTTATGTGCATATATATAACATAGGGGGGAACATTCATCAGAACAATTACCATGAAAGTATTTATAGAAAAGGCACAGGGAAGCTACATTACGTATCTGTGCATTCTGTAAACAGTGTTACACACACATTCTTTTTTTATCACTATTTTTTTAAAAATCATTTCAGTCTAAGCAAGGCAATAAAATTACTAGGACGCAATAGATTACTAAGTGTTAGAGAATATGAGAAAAACTACTATTAAGGAGAGAGGTCAATAAAAGAACTAGAATTAGGAAGACAGATGATAATGATTGGCATCCCATTTAAATTTTTGAAGATCGAATTTAAATGAGAAGCAAGAAGCCGGAAGAGAGTTTCACAAGCGAGAAGTGCAATAGAAGAAACTGTTAGCTTAGAATTTACGGTTCCATCTAACCATTTCAATTGTAAATTGATGAAACCATGTCGCCAATTTTAGTACTGCGCTTAAATTAATAAAGTCTATGTATCATAGAGGAAAGTTCTACGTTAACATAAAAACGGGAGTTTCAGGTCTCCCCCCCCCCAAAAAAAAATCTGTTGAAATGACGGTTGAAAATAAGATAATAAATAATATTATCTTGAAATTTACGCGGTTTCTAAATAAAATTACAATGGAGCCTATATTTTCAATTCATTACATGTCAGCAGATATACATTTATTCGCTCCGGATAGCGTTTTTTTTTATTTCCGTCATTAGTTTTATTATCGTGTTGACGCCTATAAAGATGTACCGAAAATCAAAGCTTCTGTTTGCAGTGTCGATCAGCGCTTAAACATTTACTATCGCCATCAAACACATTTCCTTTGAATTAAATAAATAAACACATCTCAATGCCTTAGGCTATTACCGTTAGCTTTTCTTTTTCTGTATGCCATGTCCTTTCAGGATGTTAGCGATCATGGCTCTCCACAATTTCCTATCCTTTGTAGCTCTTAATAACTGTTGTCTTTTTGTTATCTCTCCTTAACCCTGTCCTGCTAACCATTTACACAAACTCATTCTTCTTCTATGCGCCGTGTCCCTTCAGGACATTGGTGATCATGGCTCTACACAATTTCCTGTTCTTCGTAGATCTTAATAAATGCTGTATTTATGTTATCTCTCTTAGATCTCGTTCCGCCGTCCATTTACTTAAAATCATCCTTCCT